AGGGTCATTATCGATATAACGACGACGACGAAGGACACTCAGGTGAGTGCCCCAACTGAGACTTAACTAACTAGAACCTTAGGTTACGATACGAAGAGAAGCTAGGTTGTGACAGTGATATATTTTCGACAATGCTCGTTGAATGGATGTTGGGGAAGTTGATAGTATTGAGTATATCGATTATTATTGTGGTGGATATGTTTGAACGAAATCTCAATATGAATGAGAGATAGGTATCTAGCTGCCTTGTAGTTAACTAGTTAGAGCAGTCCTGCCTGATATATAAGGCCCCAAGGTACACACCAAAGGTTCAAGCAAAGAAATACCAAAGACAAGACAGGAAAAGAAGAAAACAAAATATTATAACCAAAAAAGAAGGCCTCCTCAGTAAAGAGAGATATAAATGACGACGATGACGTGTACTTTTGGCATCGAGGCGTTCATCCATTTCAGCCTCCTCCTCGGGCGACAATCGAAGAGATCCAGTGAAGACGCATGATAGTGGCTGTGAGGCGGCTTAAAGGACTTTATTAAGGGTTTCGACTAGTTCGCGCTCTTCCTCTGGGGTATGAAAGTTGGACATAGTGTTGATTTATTCGGGTATATGGTATATTTTTGGAGATGGTCATTGAATAGATGTTGGAGGCGTCGACATTGATTATATCAATTATGATTATGATAGGATATATTTGAGTGGAATTGTAATAGAAATGAGAATATAGGAATGTTACTGCCATAAAGATATTCTCAATTGTGGCAGGGTAAGGCTGTGACTCTATTATTAGATCAAGTAAGCATAGTTATTGTTTATGATATCATTCAGCCGTATAAATATAATCTGTTCAGCGAGTCTTTTATATAGATATATTCCAGCGCCCAATCCCATAGTTCCATAAATCGCAAAATCTGACAAGAAAAGAGAAACCAAAATCAACCACAACCCACTACGCCTTCTCCACGTGGTGTGACGGCTCAACGACCAGGCAAACAGTGCCAAAAGATGCCATACAAGCAATATGGACAAACAAGGGCTCAATCCGCATCGCACAAAGGTTTATAGAGACTGTACTCGCCAGATAGATTTCCTCTCCTTTTTTCCTCCCCAGATTCGATATTCTCGTCGATGGCTACACTAGTTTAGATAGGAATATCAATTCATTAATATCTACTGGTCCGAGCCCGTGACACGTGGTCAATACGTCCCTTCTCAGTACCATCCATCATATCCGCGTAGTTGGACGATGGCACAAAGCCCTTGGACTTCCAGGCCACAGGGACCTTGTGGTAAAGCTCGTCAACCTCCTCCAAACTGAGGCCCTTGGTTTCGTAGATGCAGGTGTAGACAAACACAGCAGCGATGAAGCAGAAACCACCCCAGATGAAGAAAACCTTGGACTGGAGAGACATTTGGCACGGGCTTTGAGAGAATAGAGCTCGCCAGTCACCACCCAGGCAACAGGCCCCCACGAGCTGGCGAAGAAGAAAATATAGATACATACGAAGGCGATGAGAACCTTGTTTGATACGTCCGAGGAGGTTGCGGTGCCGACGATAGCGACGATGAGTTGGCTGACGCACATGCTGACCGCTCCGAACATGAGAAGAGGCTGACGACCCCACTTCTCAACCATGTAGAGACCGGGGAAGGTCGATACTACGTTAACAATGTTTGTAATCAAGGTAATGATGAAACCATCCTTGATGCCCGAGTGTTCGAAGAAGGTGGTGCCATAGTAGACTGGGATTAGGTTAGCAACAGAAAGTATGTTTGAAAGTGAGATACAACGTACAGATAAAGTTGACACCAGCTAGTTGCTGAAGGGCCTGAACACCGCAACCGGTTGCCAGTCGACGTCCAATAGACCCGCGGAAGATCTCGAGGTAGGTTGCTTTGCCCACGCTCATTTCATAGTCATGGTTGGCCTGGATCTCTGCGAGCTCCTCGACAATGGCCTGATCACCGATGTCGATCCGACGGAGACGTGCGAGAGATTTAGCCGCGGCTTCATGCTTGTCTTGTTTGATCAAAAACCGCGGGGTTTCGGGAAGGACCAGCATGCCGGCGACAAGAATGATAGCCCATACGAACTGGACAGCAACAGGGATTCGGTAGGAACCAGTGTTATCGCGGTCCTTGGTTGCATTGTTGACGATGGCGGCCACCAACAAGCCAATAGTGATGGCCAGCTGATAGGCACCGACAATGGTACCACGAATCCACTTAGGAGAGGTTTCGGATTGATAAAGGGGGACTTGCTCGAGTTAGTATAAGATATATACCCCTTGAGATGACAGAAACATACCTGTTGCAGAGAGCAAACCAACACCGAATCCAGTAAAGAATCGGCCAGCTAGGATTGCTGCAGTGGGATTGGATGTTTATGAGAAAGAACCGGTGGTGAACGAGAAGTTGATTAAGAATAATCCCGCTTTAATGGTTCCTCATCTTGAGACTCATACGATGGAGACATTGGGGAAGATGGAAGAATGGGCGATGGAGAATGTGAGAAGGGCTGTTCTGGGGGAAGATTTACTATCGCCTGTTCCGGAGCAGTTGTAACAATAAATAAGGAAATATATTAAGTAACATCTATAGGAATTTATGTGTATGTACAATCAGGTTATGTGTATGTACTATCAGGCAATTTCATAGCGGCGCTGGTAGTCCTTGTCGATGCTGGTCAGATAGTATGTGCCCGGCAGGAGGTGGGAAATGTCGCCATACAGAGTGTAGTTGTTCTGCAGGTGGATCTTCTCTCGCAGCCACATTGCCTACATATATTAGTATCACCACATTTATAAGGTAAAGATAGACAACTCACCTTTTCATATTCAGTCGGCGATGCAACAATCCGATTCTCCAAGCGCTCGTTAAAGTTCAATGCAGACTGCATCTGGGTTGTATCGCCCACCACCTGCAGCGAGAACAGAGTACTGGCAAGACCCGATCCATAGCTGAACATGCCGACATTCTTGCTCATGAGATCCTTCGAGTTGACATTGCTGAGCAGACTGGCCAGACCAGAGTACAGACTGGCAGTGTACATATTGCCGCATTGAGTCGGGCCCATCATAGCAGGAGCCACACGCTGCTGGAAGGTCTTGGTCGTGTAGGACATGAAGGCCTTTTCGACGGTTCGATCGGTGAGAGAGGCATCGTAGGCCATGTCCTTCAGGGCGGGATCGATGTTGGCAAACTGCGGTGCGTCTGGCTGGGCCTTGAAGTCGTTGTATGCGAGTCTTGCGAATGATTTGGAGACCAGCTTGGCTGTGGGCGAGTGGAAGCACATAAAGTCGAATCTATCTTCGATGGTTTTCTCCTTTTCTTCTTCATCTTCCAGAGAGGTGGAGAATGCCTGTTCACGCTCCTTGTACGCCTTGTAGCAAGCATCGATAGCCCTGGTGTAGCACTCGAGCGAGTAATGACCCTGCACAATGGGATACTCGCTCTGCAGGTTCGGCTTGTAAAAGTCATACACATGCTTCATGAAACTACCCCGAACAGGCTGCAGAGAAAGAGGCGCATTAGGCCCAACCAGCATTGCAACAGCCCCAGCACCACCAGTTGGTCTCGCAGCTCCACGGCCGTAGATGGCAATGTCTCCTGCGATGACGATAGCGTCGCGACCGTCCCACGAAGACGACTCGACCCAGTTGGCAGCGTTGAAAAGAGCATTAGTACCTCCGTAGCAGGCGTTGATGGTGTCGATGCCTTCGATGTTGGTGTTGTGGTCGGAGAAGAGTTGCATAAGCACACTCTTGACGGACTTGGACTTGTCGATGAGGGTTTCTGTGCCGACTTCGAGGCGGCCGATGCTGTTGGGGTGGATGTTGTATTTTTTGAGAAGAGAGGATACGGCAGTCAGAGTGATGGAGTAGATGTCTGTGCTGTTAGTGTGGTGTATTCTGATGTAGATTGATTAATCTCACCCTCTCTGTCGTCGCAGAAACCCATGCGCTTCTGTCCCAGACCAACGACATATTTACCCTGTGCAACACCATCGTGGGCTTCCAAGTCGGATTGATCGACACACTAGACTGTTAGAATACTGTTAATAAAGGAAGAGAAGTGTAGAAACTCACTCTGTTGGGAACGTAAATCTCAATGGCTTTGATGCCGACGTTGGCGGGGGAGGCTCTGAGATAAGTGCCAGCAGAGGCAGCGCTCAGAGTCGGGCTGGCGGTGGCAATAGGCATCTTGATTAATTATTGAATAAATGATGGTAAATAAGTTATTTTTTCTTTTCTTTTCTTTTCTTTTTTTTTTTTTTCAATTGAATTGTTGATGTTTTGTTCTTTTGTTGCTTTGTTGCTTTATTGTTTTGTTGGTCTGTCTGAGTGTCTATTCTGCGTCTGTCCCTCTATTTATGTCTCGACGCTCCATACAACGGAAGTCAGAATTCCAACAGTCCGATATCAATCCATTGCTATCATGTAGAATACGATATCTCCTCATTCATGGAAGTGGATGAGGATGAAGAGTCCATCTGGTGTGGATCCGAACGTTGATCCTTCGCTCCCTCCGGCTTACGTTACGAACATTCTATACAACAACTACAACTACAACTACTACTACATCGGTATCTATATCTATATCTATATCTATATCTATATATATTGTTATCTTGAGTATCATCTTAATCGATAAGTTAATCACTAAATTGGCAGTATCACCATCTAAATATCTCTACACACTATCATCATGTCCGACACAACAACCCCCCTCAAACCCACCATGCAGTCCAACTTGATTGATTTCTACGACAACCTCATCTACTCGAATGGCCTCTACGAAAAGCCAGAGAGCCATTATATGCTTCAGGAATATCTCTCCCAAGCAAGCCACACCAGCCATGCATCGCACGACTCGCTGTCGAGCGCCCACAGCGCCGACCACTCTGTGACTTCAACATCCGATGCCCATCTGCCTGAGCTTCACGAGAATGTTGGATCGATTGATGAGAAGTTGTCGATGGAGTGGAAGGAGGAGAATGAAACTGTAAGTTCTACTCGAGTCTTGTTCTTTCATGCTGATTTGTGTAGGTTGTTCGAGAACCATATGACTATGTTGCTGGCATTCCTGGCAAGGAGATTCGACGACAGCTTCTGAATGCCTTTAATGTGTGGTATCAGGTTGATGAGCAGACCAGCAAGCTCATTGCTGATGCAGTGACCATGGCTCATAATGCATCTCTCTTGTATGTCCATCCTATCCTCTTCATACAGTTCATATTCTAATAATCCAGAATCGACGACATCCAAGACAGCTCCAAACTCCGCCGCGGCATGCCCTGCGCCCACGAAGTCTACGATACAGCCCAAACCATCAACTCGGCCAACTACGTCTACTTCCAAGCACAGGAATTGCTCTTTGGCCTGCGCAACTGGCCGCAGGCAGTCTCTGTATTCAACGACGAAATGATAAACCTCCACCGCGGCCAGGGCATGGAGCTGTTCTGGCGAGACAATCTCCTCCCTCCATCTGAAGAGGATTATCTACAGATGATTGCGAACAAGACAGGTGGTCTGTTCAGACTGATTAATCGTTTACTACAGGCTGCTAGTAAGCAGACGGTCGAGGTTGGACAGTTGGTTGATGTGTTGGGCTTGTATTTTCAGATCCTGGATGATTATAAGAATATTCGTGAGGAGAAGGTATTTCCCCTTCCCATTTACACCATCTCTGTATTCCATACTAACATGCCTAGATGGCCTCCCAAAAAGGCTTCTTCGAAGACCTAACCGAAGGCAAATTCTCCTTCCCCATCTGCCACGCCATCTGGGCCGAAAACCCGAACAAAGACGACCTGATCGACATGATGCGCATGAAGACGGAAGACATGGCCGTGAAGAAACAGGCCGTGCATATTCTGGAGAGATCGGGCAGTCTCGAATACACGAAGTATGTTCTGTACGGGCTGGATCGAAAGGCGCGGGAGTTGCTTGCGGAGAGTAAGCGGCCGAATGCGCATTTGGAGGGGTTGTTGGATCTTATGCTTAACAGTTTGGAGAGGTGTGGATAGATGGATATATGAGGATGTAGTGTTTTTTGGTTATACAGATTGTTATATGGAGTTTTCTGGTTATGTCATAGAATATATTGAATATACTGTTTTTTAATGCAATTATCTTGAGAATAATCTACGGTCAATCAGTAGTACAGTTGCATTTCTGTGTAATACTATATTCCAGTTTATAGAATTTTAAATGGAGACTACTATTTCAATGAATATTTTCTTTTATTTTATTATTAAAAACCAGATTCAAACTTGGTGGATGATACAAAAACGCTGTCAATCCAACCGATACAGATAAGCATCCCCAGTATAATCAATTTATTCTGCAGGATAATATTCTTGCTTAGAGAACACAATAGATTGCATACAGATAAGCCTCATCGGGCACACACCAATAAACCCCCCACCAAGACACTGCGGATAAGAATTCCTCACAAATAAACTCTTTTTACAGCCTCAGTTAATCCAGAAGCATTCTAGACTCCTCCATTTCTAATCCAGCATGCAGAGTCCCTGTGGATGCAGATGGGGGCGATTTCGGATCCCAGCGATCCTTCAATCCTTCTTAGGAGAAGGACGTGGATGACCCCGGCTTATGCATTTTTTGTATAGATATTGTTATAAGTATATTGCTTCATGCTTTAGTATTCAATTAATTAAATCAATTATTATATTTCTTCATGTTTTGTTTATTTTCTTCAATGACTGCTCTCTACTCTTTGCTCTCTACTCTTTGCTCTCGTTGCGTGTTTAGACTTGCTTTTTATAGATAAAAAATGGACGTTTCCAGTCCGTCTATCTTGCCTTTGCCTTTTGGATTCGCTACTTCGAAAAAGGTATTCATCGACTCTCTCAAACGGCACAAGAAGACTGTTCGCGCAGTCGCCAGTGCTGCTGTTATCTACGCCTGTCTCTCGTGGACGGTATCCAGACCAGCTCGCGATTTCAACTCGCTGTCGTTAAAACCGGATCTCCACCAATATGAGGCTTGGGGATTGTACTCTCACCCTCATGGTGATTCGCATGTTGCTGCTGTAAGTTCTACTACACTCAAGTGAAGGGATTTTGCTAATGTGTATAGACGTGGAATGCAGGCAACACTCATAGAACCCCTCCCCACCATCACGGAAGCCATGGATGGCTCAATGCCCTTCGTCATGCATGCAGCAACACCGACATGGCACACAATCAAGTCCTCATCATGAAACGAGACCCCCAAGTCTCCACTCCTACCAGAGTTGCATCTCCAAGAGCCACAGACGATGCTGTCCAGCAAGGATACCTCTTCCAATGCGGGCATATCAATGATGTGATGAACCGGTCTGGGATCTGGCTGAATGATGCCATCGAAAAGAACATCATACTCGGTGCACCCGTGAAGAGTCCGTCTTCCTTGACTGTATCTAGCACGACTATCGTGAAGCTGCTGGTGCAACTCGCTGCTGCGACTGTTTTGGCACTGGGGATGGTTTATGGACAGTGGATTCCTGGTAGCAGCTCATCGCAGCAGGACAATCTGTCTCTTACCAGGCCAGCGAAGAGAGCTGTACAACCACTTCGACATCCCATCACTGCATCGTCCAAGCAGACTCCCAGTCCAGCTAAACCAGAAACCCAACAAAAGAGCTCCAGCACACGCCCCAGCGACGCCGAAATCCGCGAAATGCCCGAGAATCAAATCATCCAGCTCGGTGCTCAAGGCACCATCCCCCTCTACTTCCTCGAAAAAGCCCTCCAAGACCCCGAACGCGCCGTCAAACTCCGTCGCTCAATCGTCGCCAACCATGAAGCCACCAAGCAAATCGACTTTCCCCTCGAGAGCTGCGCCCTCCCATACCAGCACTACGACTACCAAGCCGTGCTAGGCGCCTGCTGCGAGAACGTCATCGGCTACATGCCCCTCCCCCTCGGCGTCGCAGGCCCCATCAACGTCGACGGCAGAAACGTCTTCCTCCCCATGGCTACCACAGAAGGCGCTCTCGTCGCCAGCACAAACCGCGGCTGCATGGCCATCAACGCCGGAGGGGGCGTCTCCACCGTCCTCATGGACGACGGCATGACACGAGCCCCTCTCGTCCGATTCCGCTCTCTCGCACAAGCAGGCGCAGCAAAGGCATGGCTGGACTCTGAAGCTGGCTTTGCTCTCGTCGAGTCCTCGTTTAACTCCACAAGTCGCTTTGCCCGTCTCCAGAGTCTGAAGACAACCGTCGTCGGGTCTGACCTGTACATCCGCTTCAAGTCGCGCACCGGTGACGCAATGGGCATGAATATGATCTCCAAGGGCGTTGAACGCGTTCTCGAGGTGATGGTGGAGAGCGGGTTCGACGATATGCAGATTGTCTCATTGTCAGGAAACTACTGCTCTGACAAAAAGGCAGCAGCAATCAACTGGATTGAAGGACGTGGGAAAACTGTCAGCGCGCAAGCAACGATCCCCGCTGATGTCGTCCGGAAGATCCTCAAGACAGACGTCGAGAGCCTGGTCGAACTCAACACGTCCAAGAATCTGATCGGCAGTGCCGTTGCGGGTGCTTTGGGTGGATTCAACGCCCACGCTGCTAATGTCGTCACGGCGATTTTCCTCGCCACTGGTCAAGACCCGGCGCAGAATGTGCAAAGCAGTAATACTCTAACTGTTATGAAGAAGTAAGTCTTCCATCCTCCCTCACCGAACCTTGCCTAGGTTACTAACGCGAAACAGCGTCGACGGCAACCTCCAAATCTCCGTGTACATGCCCTCCATCGAAGTCGGCACCGTCGGCGGCGGAACCGTCCTCGGTCCCCAAAAGGCAATGCTAGGAATGTTGGGCATCCAAGGTGCCGATTATGAAAACCCGGGCGGAAACGCACAGAAGCTTGCGCTCATAATTGCGTCTGGTGTGTTGGCGGGCGAGTTGAGTTTGTGTTCTGCTTTGGCGGCTGGGTCGTTGGTGAAGAGCCATTTGGCGCATAACCGGAAGAAGAATTAGTTTTTATGGTTTGTTTATTGCGAGTGATAGATTTAATAGATTGAATGAGAGTTTTGTCATGATTTTACTTCTGGTATTTGACAGTGGCTGTTTAATGGTAGATATGCTCTCTATACTTCTGATGCATATTGTAAGACTTCATGTTGGAGGAATTGTCAAGCCCACCGTTACAATTGAAATTTATGAAGTATTATATATGTTCCTATACGAACTTGATTTTCTAGGACCACTGGGACCTTCCCGTTCTGGATGCCGCCGCTATTATGAGGGTGCTCAGAGGCTTGCTCAGTGAGCACTCAGGGCCTGCTCATGGCCCACTCAGTGCTCAGTTACTCACCCCTCTCTATTTTGCGCGGATAGTTTGACCGTAGCGCCATATTCACCATCCCAAATACCCACACCATTCCTGGTGTCCATATCAAATGACGCAAGCCAAAAACTGATGGGTTTGAACCTCACTTGATCTGGGAATATCCATGCCCTCCCTCCTACTCGAGCAGTGATGCACAGGGCAGCTCGGCCAGTAAGTCTAGCACAGCTGACATTTCAGCCGCCAATTCTCTTTTGAGTTCTCTCCGTACGACCCCTGATCTTATTGATCCCAGAATCCTTGATCCTCCCTGGCCTGGAACGGTGGCCCACCTTCCATCAACGGGACATGTGATGCATCCGACCCAGCTGCTTGTGTTGACAAATCTTGACAAGACAATTGTATATGAAGAAGGAACTGATGATCCGACCATCAGCCACCTTGATGCTCTCCATTTGGACGACCATTGAACCAAGCAAGAAGGACCCAGGGTCACTGCAGATACAACATTGATGAACACCTCTGTGGCTCTTGACAATGTCCATTTGAGCAGTCCCAACATTGGTCCAAGGGATAGACTATCCAATTGTCCCCTCACAGGCCATGGGCAGAAATTCCTTATTCACCAACAGTCTCTGTGAAACCCCAACCACCTCTGAGGGGCCTCTGACTAGAAGCTCAAGCCATTACCCCCATGTAGGATAGACAAATATCCTTCTTGACTCTCTTCTGTCTACTTATATCTATCCTATATTCTACCGTGTCTTTCCAATTGCCCTTGACATAGCATTGCTCATTCAGAAAAAGAAATAAAAGGCAGAACATACACCACACTTGTCTGCTCTGCTGGGTATCAATACATGTAGTCTGATAAATAAATCCTTAAACCATATCTTCTAACCAGTGTGTCATCATGAAGGCACCGCGCTCGGCGCTCCCAAGCCAGTGATATTTCTCCAAACATAGATGTTGCATCTCAGCTCCAGAAGTCAATGAATAGATCATCTGTTTACTAGCCCAAATTCCGCTAAGTGTTGGTTCTTGCAATCCAGGACCAGAATGCATGAATACTCCTCCAGGAAAACAACCCTCCACAAGTTGGGCTGGTTTGGGTCTGAAGATGATCATTAGCTTAGTGGTTGATAACTGACTGAGCAACGGGGCCGGGTTCCTTACATGTTGTTATGGGTTTGGAATGATGACAATCAAGCATTATCCACTCATGCAGACTATGTGCTTGGATCCAGGGGTGATATATTCCATGCTTTTGAAACCTGGCGCAGTGATCTTCTATTCGGTCCCTGTCTTGCAGAAGCTCAAAGCCCCAGCCTGGGCTGACTACATAGAAATTGATGCGTCTGCTACCTTTTTCTGTCCACTCACTGGATATAGCAATACGCGACTGGGTCGCCTGCCAGAATGCCTGGTAAAAGACATCCTGGAAAACGGCCTCGGGTGGGCGAATTTGCCCTGAGGGCCCAAATCGCTGGATTTTGGCGGCGTCATAAAGAGATTGCTTGCAAAAGTGTTGAAGAATGGCAAGGCAAAGCTCAATGATGGTTGGTGTCACGGGCTCGGAATAGAAGATAATAACGAACTGAATTCCTATCTTGACTATTGTAGCCATCAACGAGAATATCGAATCTGGGAAGGAAAAAGGAGAGGAAATCTATCTGGCGAGTACAGTCTCTATAAACCTTTGTGCGATGCGAATTGAGCCCTTGTTTGTCCATATTGCTTGTATGGCATCTTTTGGCATGTTGGCACTGTTTGTCTGGTCGTTGAGCCGTCACAACAGTCTTTATTAGATAACTGAAAAACTCATCATTGTCATCAAAGTGTGTCCACACATCATCTAGGCCAAGTGTCACGGGCTCGGAGTAGTAGATAATATTGAATCAAGGTTCCTATCTATGCTACTGTAGCCATCGACGAGAATCTCGAATCTGGAGAACGGAATCTATCTAGAGGAAGGAGAGGGTATTTATCTGGACACGGAGTTGATCTATCACATATGATGTGTCTCATATGATACATCAACTGTGATGCTTCTGAGAAAGTCTCTCCTGGTCCTATAGCGTACGATCGTCACAGAGGTGTTGGGCCGTCACACCAAGTGACTGAGCATTTGCATGCTTAAAACAATTTCAATAGACCTATGAAAGTAAGAAGCTATCAGGGTGAAGTAGATAATGGCACATACAGTCTCAAGAAATTCTAGCACAGACCGGACCATTCCAGGATGGCCATTGGTCATGCTATAGATATGATTCTTTAAATTGTCCTCAATTTTAAACTTGAGATTTCAATTCTTTGAGAACCTGAAAATGACATCATGAAATTCAGCAAAGTTGTAAAAAGGGGAAATCTGTGGTGCTCCCAGGCACATGGACAGCACTAGAGAAACTCAGAGCTCTGCTCATAAGATAGGGGATCATGGGATGTATTGCCAGAAGTTTGATAATCTGGTGAACATGTGGATGGGCTGCTGTAGGAAGAGAATAGACAAATTGATGGGCTGTGAGAAAGACCCATCCAGTCTTTTATGACAGAAAACCAAAGATGGGATTCCCCATAGGTGGTTTGCGCTTCATCAATAATAAAGACAAGGTCGTTGTTTTTCTTGGTCAACAGATCCCTTGCTCCCACATTTGTAAACCCTGTTCTGTGGCTTTCGTCAGCAAGGATTTCAGTTGGATGACGGCGGCCAGTAGCCGGCGGCCAGCCTAGGCCCATGAACACTACTCAGCGATTTGTCTCCAATTGATCTTGTAGCAATTGAGCCAGTCATGTCTTCCTGGTGGCGGGAGTGCCCTGGATGTGGACTATTGCCTAATGTTCTAGCATCTGTGCCAACATATCAACAGTGTCCAGTTGTGGGGATATCTCAGCAGGTATGGACTCAGCAGGCAGGGAATCATTCCCTGTCAGTTCATTCAGATTAGGATATTATATGAACAGTAGAGGAAGAATAATAGAATACCTTGATGGTGGATTTGCTCTTTTTTATAGCTTGAGTGATATGACAGCAGATGGTAACACTCACAACAAGATATTTGCCAATCTATCACAGACATTAATATAACACAAGATCCCTCTGTGCAGGAGCATTTTTGAAGCGTTCCTGAAAGGCCTCAAAATCCACAAGGGCCAACTGTTAGTTTGGTCATTTTGTCTTCGTTTAAGCATGGGGGTGATCTTGGTGACGTCGTGAACAGGTTGTTCAAACCTCCCAGCCACGAGGCCATGGTGGACGATATGGATGAGCAGGGCAAAGAACCGGAAGGAGCATAGAAAAGCAAAGAGAAAGTGGAAGGAGCAGACACCTCCAACTACAGAGCACATAATTGTTGATTACGTCAGTTCATGGCTCGACTAACTATCGTTAGTTACCCTCAATTTTATCCCTGCCCTAGTGGTATGGAATGATAGTGTAATGTTACAATTCAAAAGTGTGCTTCATTGTAAATGTCTTTCTCCAACGCTGTTCAAAATCAAATAATTACGGGAGGATTGAGCAAGTTGTGTGTTGAATTCATGCTATTCATCGATTCTGAAATAGATAGTCAAGATTCTACTCCTGTGGATAAATCCGATTCACTGAGTCTCAGCCTGAGCCTGTCCCTGCCTAGACATCCTCGCAACAACCGCCACGACTACCGCAACAACCACAGAAAGTACCAGAGCAAAAAGAGGGTACAGTCCCGTCATCGCCATACTCGTCAAGCCAGCGAAAATTCCACCGGCTGGAGTAAACGCACCGTAAGCAAAGGCTTGATACGCAGCTGCGGCCGAACCTGTAGAGAGGAACTTATAGTCAGCCACTTGCACTGAAGACTGAGGGGCTAGGAACGAGTAACAAACCTGCAGCAATTCCACCAGCTGTAAATCCAAGACCCAACAAGATTCCCAGAGCAATAGCAAAGACAATAACTCCAATAACTTCTGATTGCTATTAATATCACATATGCCATTTGACAAAGGAGCGGGTGCTTGAATGCTTACCAGGACGCGAGAGGAATTTCAAAGCCTTCTTCAGCAGATCCCAGAAATTGTCTTTGAGCCACTCAAAGCCGGAGACCACATGATGATAAAGTGAGGAGGCTCTGCGCCAGAATCCTCTAATGAGGTTTCTGCCCACGGGAAAGAGGGTAGAGAAGACCATGTTGGGTTGTTATGGCTGTGACAGAGGAGGCTGGGAGAGAGGAAGTTGACAGAAGAAGGATGGACAACATGTGGGAAAGACTTTTTTTTGTATGTTTACAGGATCAAAGGGCGTGAGGGCTCAACCCTTGACAAAAGGAAACAAAAAGTGGATGCATACAATGCATACGATGCAAAGGCGGACAACGGCTTATGAGACAGTGTCAGAAGCCGTGGAGAGAGATGGAGAGGTATTGTGAAAAAAATTATCATTCAAAGCGTGCATCACTATATGTGTCTGTCCGAAAATTCATGCCCTTTTTCATAGCTGTAATGCCATTGAAAAATCAAGCCTTTCGTCAACTCTCGAACATCCTTGTTTATCTGAGCCCTAAGTTCTTTCGCAATAATCTTGACCAGACGGGAAACAGCAATGTAGTCCTGAGGCATTTGCTTCGATTCATATATCAAGATAATTAATTGAGAAGGAAATTGAAAGAGATGAAACGTTTCTAAACCAGTTCATGAATGGACATTGCGTTTTTTAATCTTCTTGGCCCACTTCATAATATCACTCACGAAACACAGCTTTCTTGATAAAGAACCAGGGACCAAGTTTCCATTGAGATGAAATTAGATTAGAATTATAATTGAGAATACTATGGTTAAGGAAAGAGCTGCAACAAAAGTTCAAGACAGTTTCTGTTTAACACACCACTCTAAAGAAGAATCTTCTTTCCGGCCTCTAGATCCTTAATCTCTTTGGTAAACTGCGCCCGCAAATGTTGAATGTGACTTTCTTCACCTGCGATATCTTCTAAGTCCGCGTCAGATAAGTTATTGACGAAAAGAGAACTGAGAAGTTTTGTTGGCGTCTCTGATCCATTGATGAGATGATAGTCAGTGGCTTGCATGCAGACATTGTCCACAAAGCGCTTGAGGGCTGCTTTGTAGTATGATTGCAATATATCATGGATATCCTCTACAGTATGTCCGGTGTTGCTCTTGTCATGAACTGCAGATACATCGCGGAGGCGAACTACCTGTCCACAATGGGCGTGGTTGAGAACTTTAGGCGCGAGGTGAGCTTGGATTCGAGTGACTCGGCTGAATAGCGTTAGTCTTGCTAAGACAAAAGTAGAAAGTGAAAATTTTCTCAATTACCATTGCTGTAAGGAATCATTGAAGTAATGGTTCAATGTCAAGGGCGTGCCATTCCGCTCAATGTTGAGGATGAAACATACTTGCTTTATAGCATCCTGATATTTGGAAAGCAAGTTATCCATCAATCGTGCCTTTAATCTGCGACAGACGCGCCGATCAACGCATGCAACCTCAAGAGCCGTAAGGATAAACTGATGGACAATGGTAATTATGTCACTAATATATCCCAGCGTGAAATTGGGCCATTTCGCAGATTGCTTTCTCATTGTTGTGGCAAGAAGTGAAGGGTTGAAAGTTCCCATCTCAAATCCACGAGACGAATGAAACACCTTGGCCAACCACTTGTAAATTTTCCCATCCTTGGGAGATACTTCTTTGGTACACTCGTGAAGAACCTCAGCCAAATCTTCCATGTTCGCAGTTGTGCGGGTCTTGATAAATTTGGTTGGCTCGTTTGAGCCACTCAAATTTTCATCTTCTGAAGTTGGGGAATCCTCCTCAGAATTATCTACCTGGTCACCATTCAAGTTGTTCATGTCCGATTTTGTCTTGAACGTATACTCATGTGCCCAGACGGAGAGGTTATCTGCGAACAGGATATGGCGATTCATGACCAGAGTTGCTAGGCGAAGATCCGGATGGCTGTCAAAAATATCGTCCATTCCATAGTTAGAGCTCAGGCCATGTGAGGTTAATTCTTGAAAGCGAGCTACAACACTGAGGAGATAACTGCGTTGCTGCTCAGGCATCACGCGCTCATTGCCCAGGTCTTTGAGTGCTTGCTTGCGCGACTTGAGCCTCTTCATGATCTCCAAATGAACTTGAGAAAATGACTTCCGAGCGTTGTCAATAACTGCCTCCTGAAGGCGCAACCTGAGCGAGTTGATCCCATAACGATCTGGAGAAATAGAGTTCCACGGCTCTTTTCTACCGAATGCATCCTCAGCAGCGTTGCGATCAATGCCTCCTTCTTGAAGTTCATGCTGTCCTAAGTTGCGCACAAGGAACCAACCATGTTTGAGGATTAAGTCTTCGCCATGAAGGAGATCCAACACCTTCTGCTCAGCACCTTTGTCCACAAGATCAGGCTTGGTGAGAACGCCAAGCGTCCGTTGTCCATCGTGATCGAGTTCGCGCGCCAACTCAATAATCTCCTGTGTCGCGATATCCACATTGGCTGGAACGACTGTGAGCATGATGGATCGAGGGTTTTTCATGTATCCAAGTACCATGTCGCGGACCAACTGGATATCTGTCTTTGAGGTCAAGCCTGGCGTGGTGTTCTTGAATATTCCGGGGACATCGATGACGCTAAGATGGTCCTCATTGGGACCACAAATTTCGAGACGGAAGACATCATTCGAAAATGTCGGTTTTAAGATGTCTGGTGAGCCCGACAAACCCATCAACGAATGAACCTAATCCAGTAATTAGTCTTATGTCCTTCCTACACTGCGGAAAGGGTTACATACCTCAACCATCACATGCGAGAACTCGGAAGGATCAAACGGGCCATCTTTACCCCATGTCCATTTTTCCAATGCGGCCTTTTTCTCCGGGCTTGCGTCCGAGCCAGGTAATACAGACGCAGTAATCTTACGAGCAGAATACTCCTTTGCTCTGCGGAAGATAATCTGCGTAGCAAATCGCGTGCAGAGGCCGCTATCACAGGGAAAGGGGAGCTGAGTTAGTCCTTCTAGGACAGAGCTTTTGCCACTAGACTGGTCGCCAACAACCACTAATTGGGGGAGTGAAATATACTCGCCCACGTTGCAAGCGAAAAGCTTGTCAATCTTGTCCAGCAAAGCGGGATCAGTCAGCGTAGACTGATCAGGGTTCTGAGGATTCCTCATTTTTGTGATTGTTCCTTATGAGAAGTCAAGATAGCAAGGCATAATTCAAATGAAAATAGTCAGAGACGCTTCAAGCTTTCCCTTATATCTGAGAGAAAAAAAGTTATGGCGATGGAATGGAGGTAGAAGATGATCGACGAGAACATTGAATCTGGAGAAGAAATCATCCAGTTGACAGAGAGAGCTATATACAGTGTATGTTGCTTGGAAAAGGGGCTAAGCCTGCATCTATCACAGCTGACTATCTGGGAGCGTTTGCACACCTTGGCTGCAAGGCTAGGGCTTTCTTTGTCTGCTTGCATGGGTGGCGTCGTTAGCTTTATTGATGCCATTTGTTGATCTTGGCGTTGATACAGCGTTACAACGTCACAATTTCCCCCATAGGATTTTTGTCAATATTTATTTTCCGTGTCTTACTCCTACACAGGATGTATCACTTGATATGCGCGTCAATATTTCCTACTTGCAGAAAGATAACTTTGAACGCAAGTGACATCAGGAAGTTTTAACGGCAACTTTTCCATCACATTTTCCCTCATGGCTACACTAGTTTAGATAGGAATATCATTTCGTCAGTTTCTGCTAATCCGAGCCCGTGACAGAAAGTAAGCCTATCAATCCCAGGAATAAGCCAAGCCGCTCTCTGTTTGTGTTATTATATGACGCTTTCTATAGTCAAACACGTCCACAGGAATCCTGTAGCAATTAAACAACTTGAAGAAAGAGCCCTTGTCTTCCATTTATCTTTGTTTGTCCCGTAAAGCGCTTTTTTTTCCGGATGTCTTGGTCTCCACGAACGTCATGTGCCTTGGCAACCTGGTCCAAATATCAACCAATAGATAGTTAGGTACTTGACTTGAATCTAGGCCTAAATGGCTGGATACAGCAATATTCAAAAACAGATTTTCCTTTGTACACTCACGAGTTGTTTCCCAAGCGATAACTGTTCGCCTACGAGATGGATGCGGTGACAAATTCAAATAATAATAGTTTCTAGGTATGTATAACTAACTATTGTATATTGTATATTGTATGAATAATATGTACATTTTCATGCGACTCCCTTTTTAAAACTCCATTACTCCATTGTATTATTTATATTACGTCGGGTCGTTCGTGGTGTCGCTACTCATCAACGGTGGTAAATCTTTCAAAGAGAGGGGATAGTTGAACAGGTCGCTGTTACTCGTCGGAGTGAGGCCAGTGGGGAAGTCAATGTCCAGCGGCGACCCAAACGAAAAGGGGATACTCTCCATGTGCTCCGACGCCCGAGAGCCATTCCAAGAGGTCGGGATGTGAGAGCTGGAGAAGAACCCGGATCCATCATCTGAGGAAACAGGTTGGAAGGAAGAATCGGAGTAGTCCAGTTCGAGGACGGGTAAGGGGTTGACTCGCCATTGACTAAACACCGGTCCATCATGCTGCGTTGTTATCTGGCCATCTTCGCATTTCTCGAACCATGTCCGGATTTTGAAAAAGGCCGTTGTCAACTTGGTCGCCGGCCACAGTGTGCCCCATCCGGCGAACATCTGGATAATGCAGTCTAAGCGCCTCGCGACGCTGGCTCGGTCGAGCTGTCGCTGGGCCTCTTCGCTGCCCATTTTCACCGCGGCAAAATGGAGCTTGACCAAGATAATGACGGTGTATATCATGCGAAGCAAATGCATCGCGGGGAATGCTCGGATCGCAGACATGTCCAGCGACGTGAATACGCGGAAGATATTGTCTACGGTTTCCGAGAATTCACTGAACACCGGGCTATGGTTTCTGACACCGTGTAAGGCCTGTTCCTCAGAAACCGGATCTATATCCGGACTTATGTTGGAATACGGCGTACACATGGCGACTTCGCTTATATACAGCCATGAGAAATAATACGAGAATTCAAGTACACCTAAACATTTCCATCTGACGTTAGCATAAGCATTTACATGAAACTGGACAGATGCTTCATTACCGTTCCAAACACCGTCTTGGATGTTGGTTCGCCAGTCAGCCAGCTGACGTTTGAAGGCGCGGTGGGTGACCTGTGTTTGAATGGCACGGGTTGGTATGGGAGCAGAGGAGTCTTCGAGGGAGAGTTGCAAAGCAAACTCTTCCGTGATGTGTTGTAGTCGAATATGTTGACACAGAACCTTGTCGGATGGATATGCCGCTGTAGATGTTTCGAGTGCTTCCAGGCATTCATCCATGGTGCGGGTCCATCGCATGACATTGGGAGCGTGTAGGGACATGGAGGTACTGTGAACGTCAATTCCTGCCGATGAAAACGTAGCGGGGAGAAAGAAAGTGGATGCCTACTTTGAGCAGAGGTAATAGCATCCCAACCACACTCTCCGTGCATCGAAAGATTCGACCTGGTGGGGACTCTGAGGTCCGTTGCCCTTCTGCGTACGCGGAAACATGGGGCCTCCCCATGATTTTGCGTTCAGACTTTCTCCCAGCCCCATAATTAACGCCATGTTGGCTGCTGTGTGACTGAGCTGGTAAATGTCCATCTGCTCGCCAGGCTGCAACGGCTCGATTGAGCGATACCACGTTGCGGAGACAATCAGTGCTTGCAGCAGTCCGAGATTGTAGAGGTCTGTTCGGAGCATGTAGTGGACATATGTTTGTACGATCAATTTTCGTAAACGGCGTTGAACTTCTAACTCGCAAAATCCAGACGAAGCGACATCAAGAATAGCGTAGAAGAGCACCGGGTTGGCGTTGCGTGCTTCCGAAACAGTCGTTCCAGGGGGGTAAATAACGACGGGAAATGTCGGGGCCATATTGGTGAGATATCTGTTGAAGATGGTTTCCATTGTGAAGTGGTCGATATACAGTGCGAGGGTATCTTCCAACCCCAGGGGAATGCCGTTCGGGTTCCAGTCGCTATCTTCGGAACTCGATGCTACTATTGCAGAGACCAATGTTAGCGTGAGCAGAAGCAGGGGAGTATGCATTCAACCCTCACCAGACGGCAAGGCAGGCTTAATCGTGGGATTCATTATCGGGTCCTGCGCGAAATCCATCGATCGACTCCTCTCGCCTTTATTCTCGGGCCCTGGACCCTGCGTTGCAGCGGCAGATATCATTTTATCAATCTTAGACTCCATCTCGACGATGCGACTGTTCATATGGCGCTGCGTCTTCCACGATTGGCCGGCGGGGATACACGGTTTGGCGGACTTCTGACATCTCAAACATGGCATGCCTGGGTTTGGTTGATCGCATCGGACTTTCGAGGCACGGCATGATTGACACGCTCGAGTGTTTCCATCTATCGATCTAATACGCTCCCAATCAATAAGTTTTCAAGCCTTTCTCGGGGGTTCTGCCTACATGTTCTGCATAGGTTGTTGTCGTTGTTGGAGCTGTTGGAGCTGTAGTTGCTGCTCCCCCATATCCATAGCCTCGTAGTCGGCAGTTTCATCATCGCTGGTCATCACCATGGTCTGTCCATCGTAGTTCATATTCGCATCGCTTGGTGGTGGTTCAGGAGGGGCAAATTGGAAAACGCGCCGGGCGAGTCAAGGAAATCGAAGAGGTGGGGAGGCTACACAAAGAAGTCGGGGATGCGAGGAAAAACTACAGATTTAAACAACAAAAGCCGGCCGAGCAGCGATCCATCAACGTAATAACAGCCCATGCAGAACAAAGGATTCCCACGATGTTGCCAAATACGCCAGCGGCAAATCCCGTATTACTGAGGGAACTCACTCCTATCGGGTGTCTCGCTACGGACGAGTTCCGGTAATCTTCTCATGACCGTTGGACTTTTGCAATCGAGATGACTCGAATGAGGCTCATGGAGGCGATATCCGTAGGCCATCACGCGCCTTCAGGCAAGCCACGGAGGACAGTTGCTCCTCTTCTCCGCAGCATAAGTGACTCGTAAACAGTCACGAGTGCAGGCCAATCAGGATGTTCGATCCAGCTCCACTCATCTCGATGCTGAGTCAGATGCAGTGGGGCCGCCAAGACCCCCTGGCGCCACGGATTGGGGCCTTTTTTAAATTCCAAATAGTTAAAGAGAAAGCCTCAGGCCAAAAGCCTCTCATGCCGCGACGATTACTGGACAATCCCAGTTCTTAATATATGAATACGAGTTTTGGCACGGATAAAAGAATATTCTATGCTGCATATCGTATCTTTGCGGCTGTCTTGGGGGGTTTTCATGTCCAAACCGGGCAGTTACTGGATGAAGTGATAGCCAGGAGGCACTATTCACTAATGATCTTCGCTTCTCCATTTTGTCAGACTACATGCGATGGATCGATTGGATCGCTTGCTTCTTCCGAGGAGATGGCTAATGGATTGGCTTATGGATTGGTTGGTTATTTTTTTTTCAAGAAAAAACATGATTCATGAAACACTAAACGATAAACTAAACGACAAACGATTTCTAAACAATTATTCTAATTGCGCACGATTCTGATCCTCCTCCAAAACCAATATCTTTTATCAGTTTCTCCGATCCCCCTGATCCTATTTCATCCATCAATCCTTTTTTGTCGATCAGCCTTTATGCCGAGACGGCAGCTGGAGTGGTTGCAGCAGCGGTCTCCAAATCCACCGCATGCGTGTTCGGCTCCGCCACTCTTCTCCGCATGAGCAGACGTGCAGATGGATCCGGGTAGAGGTTCTCGTCCGCCGTCAGATTTCTGGGTCGGGCCGCGCCCTCTGGGTACTGAAACTCGTACTCCATCAGCAGGTGGGCCATGATGATCTTGATCTCGTTGGAGGCGAAGAATCGGCCGGGGCAGGAGTATTTTCCGTGGCCAAAGTGGAGACTGTTGTTGTCGGTCATGGCGAACTGGTGCTTGTTGGCCTCCGCTGGGTTCATACGCTTCTTGTAGTAGCGGAATCCATCGAATTGGTCGGCGTTGGGCTCGTTCTCGGTGTCTTGGAGGATCGCGGCGGCGGGCATGCCAAAGTGGGTTCCCTTGGGAAGAACTGTGCCATCGGAGAGGGTCAGATCCTTCGAAACAATGCGGTTAAAAGCCACTGCTCATTGCGTTAGTCTACTGGTTATGACGTTCTAGAGTGGAGTGGAGAGGGGCAAACTTACACAGACTGGGGGGGTTAACTCGCTGGCTCTCCTTCAGGAAGCTGTCCAATTTGCGCATCTTGTTCAGGGTAGTCTTCTTCCAGCCACCATCTTCGCGGAGGACCTCGAGGGCTTCCTGGTGCAGGGGCTCAAAGTATTCCGGGTGGACACAGAGATCGTACATGGTGTGGGCAGCGGACATGGTGGTGGTGTGAATGGAAGCCAAACTGAGGAGCAGCTGGCGGTGGGACAGCTTGTCGGGCTGGCCATCATTCTCGTTGGCGGCGTCCATCATCCACTGCAGCATATCATTGGGCTTCTCGTAGCTGGGGTCGTTCTTTGCCTGATCAGCGCGGCGCTGGTTGACCATGGGGCTGATGATCCGCTTGGCGGTGCGCAGGTTGGAGTGGAGACGCCAGTAGCTGGGGAGGCAATGAGCGACGATAGGGTGCACGAACTTGGGTAGGCGACGGAGGAGCATGACAGTGCCAAAGACGTTCTCGGTGTATTGGATCGAGGTGTCGAGCCATTCCTCGTTGCGGCAGGCAGGGTTACCCAAGAAGACACGGGCGGAGATGCGGGAGACGATGCGCAGCACGATGTGGTAGAGAGAGACGTTCTTCCAGACATCCAGATCCTTGGGGATCTCCTTGTCCATGGCAAAGGCGAGTTCAGACTCGATGACACCGACGAAAGAGCCCAAGTTGGGGGTAAGCTTTGTCTGCAGCATGCGAGTGTGCAAGTCACTCTCCAGCAGAATCAGCGTGGTAGAGTATTTTCCAAGAAGGTTCTGCAGGAATTAGCATTATACAGCGAATCAGAAGAAGTAGACATACCTTGATGTGAGCCTGGATGGCACTGATCTGTGCATCGGGCATAGAGCGCAGTTCCTCGACATATTTGTTGGGGATGACGAGAATATCCGAGTCGTTGCGAGCAATCTTGAACATGCCAGTTTTGAACTATCCAGATCAGCCATGATCAGGAGATGAGGTGAAAGTAGAACAAACCTTTTGGTAACCCTCATTGACCTGGGCAAAAGCACCCTGAGAGAAGCGAAGGCCGACGAGCCATTTGGGCTCCCATTTAGAGCGGAAACCCACAAAGGGCGCCTTGAAGACCTTGGAAGAGGCAATCCAGTTCTGGATGAGGTAGACAGCAGCCAGAACACCCAGCAGAACCAGATAGATCTGAGAGAGATCCTGAGATGCTGGATCGAGTTTGATGTGATTCAAACTCTGCCAGGGAGAGAAAGTGGAAGTATTGGCGTCCATGGCGTTATGGATCTGCAGTTTTCGAGATTGATACTGTTGTTTTCGCTGTTGCTTTTGCTTTTGCTGTTGTTGTTCTTTGTCTTGTTGTGCTGCCTGGATAATCGATTCTGGACCAGATCAGAGCCAGTATATATGTTCATTTTGTTCCATAGTGATAGAGACTCAATCATCCAGTGTTCCCTTGATGGATTGCACTCGGTCGGAGGCAGGATCACCGCCGGTGGATTGATCATGGCCGGCCGAAGTAAGTAAGACGTCAGGTTGAGCTGCACGCTGGGATGAGGAGCAGTAGTAAGATGGAGCAGTCGATAACGGAGCAGGAGCATCAGCCTCAAAGGATGAAGCATCCCAGTTGAGTAACCTACGTGGATGGATGAAATCGCGGTGCATGAAGCCATACAGAAACACACTGAGGGACCCTCCGCCCCAGAGCTGTTTTTCCCCTCTCTTGATCGCCCTTTGTTTTTTCTTCCCTCCTCCTTCTTCCTCGTCTAACACTCTTGTTTTCTTTTTTTATCCTCATCCAACCTGTCATAATCGCAATAATCATCCTATTCATCAGTCTTCATCGTCAGTTTCCATCACATTCACCATGTCCATCACATATCGGTATGCTCCCTTCCCTCTTCTGAATTCCGCCCAACTCACCCTCTCAGCGAGGCCTGGGGTCTCTTCCAGTTCGACCAATCGCCCACAGCAATGATTCACGATGATTCTCCCCATCTCAACCGCACTTCCCGCTCCTCCAGCCACAGCTTCTCTCCAATTCCCACTCCTGCCTCCACCTGCTCCGAACAGAGCACCTCAATCCCCAACAAAGAGCTATTCGTAGAGCTCCGCCGGCTACGACATGACCTCCAACAGCTACAACACGACAACGGGTACGTTTGATCAGCCTCTTCTGTCCATAGCCAAACGAAAGAAACTGACACACATACCATAGCGTCGTCGAGGAGCCTCGAGAAGCAATGACGCAGATGAGCGCCCGGCTAGATCAGATTACGTCTGTGCTCCGGTCGAATCCCTCAGGACGGCCAACTCTAAAAGAAAACCCTTCCCAGCCCGAGTCGTTCCGATGCTGGGAGTCGTGCTGCAAAGGACGACTCTTCTCTAATAAAAGTAACTTGATTCGACACCAGCGAGAACGACGTGGCGAAACGGCCAAGCTGCGGTGTTCGTTCTGCGATGCAGTGTTCTCTCGGAGCTCTGCCCGAAACGCCCACGAGGCAGCTCGACGCTGTCGGAACCCATGATTTTTCTTCCTTCCTTTTTTTTTTTTTTTTTTTTTTTTTTTTTTTTTTTTTTTTTTTTTTTTTTTTTTCCTTTTCAAAAATTTCTTTTCTGTTAGCCAAATTAGCCACGTTTTTGATGTTCTATAGTTATGGGAGGCGGATTCTATTCTTGGTGTTGAAATCAACGCATCCGTTATACAGACTGCTGCCTTAGCTTCACTAGGGCAGATTACGATAGATACGATTTACGCTGCCATGTCCGGCTGTTTAATTATGCTCTTGGTCACTTTATCATTATTTTAATCTTGAGTAAATCTTTCCACTTGAGGTGCAGAGAAGCTGTGTCGTAGTATTGCGTATGGTACACCTACAGTTTGAGGAGAAGCGTAGCTACATTCTACAGAACTAGCTACCATGACGGGGATGATGGATACATGTAGCCAGCTCTTTGTAAAAAGCTATTCAAACTATCTGTCTAGTTTACTCATATATATATATAGTATATGAAAAAAAAGAAGACACCTGCAAGTATAAGTTGTGACGGTTAGCGGGGCGCCAGAAACGGCTCCCATTGAACCATTCTTCTGCCGAGCCCTACCGCCTGCCGTCGACAGGAATACCATTGCCCTTTGCGGTATGGCGTCTACTGTATCAGGGATAGCGCCGCCTCAACACATCCATTGCATCTATAAAAGCCCGACATCTCCCCCTCAAAGGACCACGCACTTTCTCTTCTCTTTTTCCCTCTCCTGTCTGCCTCGCCCGGTGCACTGCCCTCTTACCAAGATGCCGCGTTACCCGACAATTACCCTTTTCCAGTATGGCGCCGGAGTGGCCGACGGTCATCTGAACAATTGAGACATTGAGACCTTGTTACTGTTGCTTCATTGGAAATTGACATATCCACATCACACCCTGATGCTGTGCTGCTGCTTATGATTGCAATTGTTTTTCCTCTCTGCTGGATCACAGTTATTCCGGCCCGGTATGGCCCCCGCTCACATGTCCTTTAGCGCGTTTCTCTCGACCTTTACGGATATTCTGTTTTGCCCCTCATATTGAAGCCCAAACCACAGAATCTTAACACCGAAATCCACGGCGGACAACTCCCTTACATCAAGACAGAAATGAAATCGCTGGAGGTACAGCCCCCGGGCCTTGCCTGGGTTCAAAGAACCTTCAATCTTGAACCCCAGTGGACGGTGGAGCCCGATCCTCAGGTCATCGAGCAGACAATACAGTCGCTACTACCATCAAGCACGGTCCAGGCGACCTTCCTCGCCGAGGGCGCCTTGAACAAACTCTATGACGTGAAAATAGATAATGAGGTCTTTGTTATGCGAGTCTCGTTGCCTGTTGATCCGTACTATAAAACTATGAGTGAAGTGTCGACAGTGGACTGGATATCCCATACCACAAATATCCCTGTTCCTCGAGTCATCACTTATCAATCTTCCCGAGAAAATCCTATCGGATTTGAATGGATCATTATGACCAGAATGCCTGGAAGACCGTTGAAAGAGCTGTGGCGCTCTCTATCATTTTCTGCAAAAACAAGTTTGGTTGGAGAGTTTGCGGCCTACTCTAGTTGCCTTTTTCGGAACCAACTCCAGGGAATTGGAAATCTCTATGGGACAGCATCTATTCTCAATGATTCCGCACTGTCTGAAGCGACCTGGCCTGCTGGAAACCCAGCATATTCTAATAATTCACCTCTATCTGAAAAAAGGAACATTTGCGTACAGGATTACCAGATGTGGGCAGAATTGTTTCTATGCACTTTTTTGGGGGGTCGCATATCCTTCAGGATGTTCATCGAGGGCCATTTACGTCTAGCAGCGACTGGATTACATCACGCCTTTCTCTCAGCGAGAAAGACTGTCAGTCGACACTAGACAATTTACCATCTAGCGATCTTGAGAGCGATGATGAAGATGATGCAGATGATGCAATAAGAACATTGGAAATCATTGGAAAACTGAAAACCCTGCTTCCATCTTTCTTTCCACCAAATGGAGACAATCCGGAGCCCTCAGTCCTGGTTCATGACGACCTCTCTAGCCGAAATATTCTCGTTCATGATAACGGAGAGCTAGCAGCTATTTTAGACTGGGAATGTGTTTCAGCACTCCCTTTATGGAATGCCTGCGATTACCCCGCATTCTTGAAAGGGCCACCGCGACGCCTCGAGCCTGATCTAGGACGATATGAACTCGAAGCGAGCGGAGAAGCCTCCGATCTCTACTGGGAACACCTATGGGAGTATGAGGTCACTCTCCTTCGTGATGTATTTATTGATAGAATGAAAAGCCTGGAACCAGGATGGGTGGAGGTTTTCCACAAGAGCCAACGTCAAAGAGATTTCGACCTTGCAGTGCAAAATTGCGATAATGAGTTTGTTGCCCGGCATATACGTGCATGGATGAATGACCTCACTGCTGGGGTGGACAACCATCCCAGCCTGCGCGATAGAATTGATGAGGATTAAACTTCTCAAAGCAGCCCAATAGGAGTAAGAACTATATTTGCTAAACAAAGAAATACCTGTTCTGTTCAAGAAACGCACTTACACTCTTCAACTTGGCTCCAATTTCAATACTTGGTAGATTTGATTGATGCTAGACTATACTTGTATATGCTGATAGTGTCAATTGGATAAGCGTATAACTTAGCTGATTACTACCTTTCGGACTAGGTCAAGACCATTCAGGGAAATTCCCATCTGGGCCGGGGGCGGCGGAGTGAAGGATCCAATTCTCTGTCTCTGAAAAAAAGCAAACTTTACAGTCGCAGTACAAATGCGATATTAACTTAAAAGAAGCGCGTATGCTATTCTAGTTGTTCGGATGTCATGCCCCGCGAGCTAGGAGTAATGTTGTGACAGGTGTCAGAACATTGAAACTTGCATACATACATAAAGTATATAACAATTCTCTATCAGGTAAATTCAGGGATCCTCACTTCTATTTCTTCATTCCTAATCTCTCTCTTCTCTCTCAGTCTCGCCGCTTTCCAATCCACTGGAAGCACCCCAAAAGTAAGTTCCATGTATCCCTTCGATATCCGCCCTCTTCTGGCCAAGCCGTGTATATTCGTCATCAAATCTTTATATTGGCCCGAAGCGCCAGCCAGATTTGCTCGGGGGTCCATGACCCATCAGTGGGGACTAGCGTGTTTGCGACAGTCGCCCCCTTCTCTCGCTGCAATGTGTGAACATGCAGGTTGTAGTATTGAGGATCACCGGTGGTGAGCTAGAGACAGAACAAAATTGGCTGGTCTAAGCTCAGACAAGGGAAAAATAAGCGCATCAAACTGGGCTTCACTAGGATAGGAGAGGAAGAGTTGTATTCAATGGTCATACCCCTTGATTGTCCAATCGGAAATCGGTATCGCTATACAATGTATGCTCGCCACTAGTAAATCCGGATAGTTTACCATCCGGTATACCGACGATAAAGGCCTTGAGGACTTTGCTGGCCTTTCCCATAATGCTGAGAGGTTTCGAGGAGGTTGTATAAGCCTGTACGAATATAAAAACTGATAGTAATTTACAAACACAAATGTGATATATCAGGCGCTCTTATAATACTATGTGGAGCCATCAACAACCAAGGCACAACCTTATCTTATCACGTGGATGCTAAACTAGATACATGGAACTAGAGAGGCTATCCTGCATTAGAATCAGACTAGCAAATACGGTTCCTGAAGAATGCCACAGCTTCTGGAATGTTTCTCAACTCCTCCACTGTTGTGGAACATATGTAACTTGACGCAGATCATATATTGACAGCTGAGACAATCTAAATGACTAATATGCAAGAATGTACATCATAAACAGCCCCACCTTCTCCGCCTCAGAAGAAAGCTATCACACGGACCTCAATACTCTGGCGTGGAGGGTTCCCATCCTGGTCGGGCAACAGAAACGAACCATGCACTGTACCCTCCGGTCTCTTCGAGGGTCGTAAATCAGAGCACGAGAAGATGATCGCCTCATGCGCCTCCTGCTGATCAATATACCACCAGCTATGCTCCCCACCGTTGCTGAGACCGTCTGTTACAGGGTCACTCGCCTCCACAGCGGGTCGTCCCTCGTACTTGACCACGTAGTTGGACGACTGCAGCCCGTCGTAGTACGATCGAGGGACGGTAATGAGATCGTCCGTGGACAGGGCAGCCATGTCAGCCACCATGAGGGGATCCCGGTCTACTTTCTTCAGGGGTCTCCAGACGTTTAGCAGCTGGAAGTTGCCGGCATTGACCTCGTCGGCTAGCTCGGGGAACATGAACCGCACGGTGTTCTGTGCTCCCGGGGGGGTTTGGTCCACGTGGATACGGTATGCAGGACCGTCGATGCCCTGGTAGCGACCCTTGACCTGGTCACCGAATTCATTGCTGGGTTTGGAGCGGACGGTGTGGTTGTAGACGAGCACGCGGGATGCGCCCGTTCTATATACTCAGCCCTGATAAGAGATAAAAAGAAAGAAACAAACAAAGAATGCTTACGTCTCCTGGATGAGTTTTTCAACCTCCTTAAAATAGACATTTCTGATCTGGCTCTCGTCACCAAAGTCGGTCACCTGCGAATGGAGCGTGGCACACTGGAAGCCGTTGGCGTCGAGCGAGAAACGATCCATCTCGGGCCGCAGATCGTGGATGCGCACGCGGTGCGACACCATGTCTTTGGAGCCCAGCAGGATCGCCATGTCGTTGTGCGATGGGGGACTGCCATTTGGCTGGTAGTAGTTGACCCATGCGTCGACTCCGGGTTTCTGAAGGCCAACCATGTTGAATTTGATATTTTATTGTTGTAATTGTTGATGTTTTTCTCATGATTCATGATGCTCAGTGCTTAATATAGCATTAGCCACCCAACTATAATTGAAGCTCCATGATCGGCGCTGCCTCTCGGAAGGATCTGCGACGTTGTTGATCCTTCGGCATGGATCACCGACCGACACAAAGAACCGCTGCGATCCCCCATCCTGCGAATGGATTTAAAAAAAATCCTTATCGCAGCGTCAGCACTACTTTTTCTTCCTTCCTATCCTTACCTCTCGAAATTTCCACACCACACCACACACCACACACTACACACTACACCACACACTACACACTACACCACACACGATGGTCTCCCTCAAGGCAGTCCAAGCGTCCAATGCGGGCCTGCGCGCCCTTCCCAACATCACCGCTCTCTTTGTTGGCGGCACCAGTGGCATCGGCCAGAGCACCCTGCGTCAGCTAGCCCGAGAGGCAGACACTCCCACGGCTTACATTGTCGGTCGCAATGAGTCCAAGGCGGGCCCGTTTCTGGCCGAGTTGCGCCAGCTGAATCCCAAGGGTCGCTTCAACTTTATCGAGGCGGATGTGTCGCTCATTCGCAATGTGGACGCGGCGTGCAGGCAGGTGCTGGAGCAGGAGAAGCATCTCAACTTTCTGTTTATGACACCGGGTGGTATTTCTCTTGGTGGTAGAAATGGTGAGTCGAGCATCGATTGTCATTGTCACTCCAAGGCAAGCCCTAACAAACGCAGAAACCGTTGAAGGTATCGACCACCTCTTCGCCCTACGATACTACTCCCGCATGCGCTTCGTCCAGAACCTCCTCCCTCTCCTTGAATCCGCCGGCCCCAGTCGTGTCGTCAGCATCTACGGCGGCGGCTTCGAATTCTCCATCAACACCGACGATCTCGACCTCAAGCACAACTTCTCCCTCCTCAACGCCTACAAGCACTCCATAACCATGACCTCGCTCAGCATGGAGCATCTCGCCGCAAAATACCCCAACGTCAGCTTCATCCACGCCTACCCCGGTCTCGTGGGGACAAACATCTACACCAACAGCTTCCCCGCGCCGATTTCTACCTTTTATAACTACGGCATGTGGCCGCTGATGTGGCCGTTGTCTGTCAATCTAGGCGAGAGTGGAGAGCGACATCTCTTCCACCTTAGCTCTGCACGTTATCCGGCGAAGAATGGTCTGCAGAACCAGGGTGTGCCGGTTGACACAGCTGAGATCGCAAAGGGTACAACGGGGGAGACTGGAAGCGGCGCATATCTGATGAACTGGAAGGGAGAGGTTCGACCAACCAGGAAGGTTATGCAGGAGTATCGCGAGAAGGGAGTTGGAGAGTTGGTATGGAAGCATACACAGGAGTTGTGGGATCAGGCTATTCGTTGTTGATTGGGTTTAATCGGGGGATATTATGAAGAATGAATTAGAGCTGGTGTAATAACAATACCTAGTAATTGATAGTCATGCATTTATTTTATTTACCCTTTTTTTGACTTATTAGAGTGATACTACTGCTACTTTATTGAATCTTTCCATGTATCTCTTCTTTCTACTAGGATACTGTCTACAAGATACAAAGGAACTATCTTAACTGGAATCTCTATTGCTCAGACAAACTTCAACACTGACATACTATAAATTAAACAGAACCATGAAACAAATACAATGCAATCCACATAGAAACATCAACCAGAACCAAAAAAAAAATAAATAAATAAATAAATAAACTCCCAAATCAAGGCGCTTTAAACGGCTCCGTGGGCGGCGCATTCGGCAATCCCACCGCGACAAACGGCACCTCTGGCAGCACCGCCCGAAAGATAGGCAAATGTGTCACCATCATATACCACCCCGTAAAGTACGGGAAATCCTCCCTCCACGCGCGGTCAAACACCTTGGCAAAGCCCAGCGTGAGCAGACTCGCGCACATGATATCCGCCAGGGTCAAACGGTCGCTGACGAGGTACTTGCGGTCTCGGAGGTGGTCTTCGAAGATTTGGATCACTTTCGCCGTGTCGTGTTGCGCTTTGTCGACTCCTTCTTTGCAGTAGGGGACGTAGCCGATCAGGGGACGCACCCAGGCTGCGATGCGCATCACGACATCGGTGTTGGTGAGGGATATCCAGCGGATGATGTTGATGAAGTCGAGCGAGGTGCTGCCCATGAGGGTTGTGTCGGGGTCTTGGTTGGTGACTATCATTCACTGTCAGTGTGAACTTTCTCATCAATGGTTTGAGATACACGCACTGTACAGCGCGATGGCCATGCACTCCGTCAAAACAACTCCATCCGTCCCCTCAAACGTCGGTGTTTTGCCCAGCGGATTCAGCTTCCAATAGAAATCAGGCACGCCATTCACCGGCTGCAGTTCGGATTCCTCCAGATCGAGCCCTATCGACTTTGCGACCGCCAGGATACCCAGGGCGCGGGGACTTCCCTATTGCGACAGAATGTTGGTTAAATGGTTATAAGCAAATAAAAAAGCTGTTTGTTTGGACCTGACCTTGTATGTGTATAGCTTTCCGAAACTCATTGCTGATTCAACTCTCGAGCAGAGCTGAAAAGACAGAATGATAGTTGGAAAAGAAAAAAAGCAAGAGAATCCTTCTCTAATGTAAGCGAATGACGATGAACTGAAATCTTAAAAAAAAATAAAAAAAACCGAGGTCGAACAAGTGATAATCGCGTGGGCTACATATGATCGCTGCGATGGATCAGAGGATCGGATCCGACACCGACGATGGATCGCGATTCCCCAGCCTTGATGGCACGAGCTATTCAAGGCAGACTCGCGGGGAAATTCCCAGTTGAGGAATTGATACAGCTGGACTGAAAGGAGCTATACGGAATCTGATTTGTGTTTCTTAAAACGCTTTCGGAGTCTATCCAACAAGCAAAAAAGAGCCAAGGAGAAAAGCCAACCAACAAACGCGACAACACCGGTTCAACCCTCTATAATCACAAATTCCCAACATCTCCATCCACAATCGACACCTTCACTGGCTCAGATGAAAAACTGGTGAGAACACTTGAATATCCCTCTTCGTCCAGCTGCTGCAGTGTCTCGGTGAGCGCCTCACACTCGCGCTCAGCTCGCAACAGGGAAATAGTGCATCCTCCGCCCCCAGCACCCGTCAGCTTAGTATACGCCAATTTTCGCCCATCCAAAAGGTGACGCACGCGTTCGAGTCGACCGTGAGAAACGCCCAGCGCGACCAGCATTCGATGGTTGATTTGAATCAACTCGCTCAGGCAGTGGACTAGTGTCGCGAGAGTCTTCTCGTCGCGAATGGTTTCTGTCAACTTCACGATCGCCAGCAGAGTAACACGGTCGATGGTGTCGAACAGGCGATCGACGCGTTTGGGATCGCTGTCTCGCGCGTCTCGCACTTTGGCGATTTGAGTCGCGCCGGAGCGTGATATGTTCGAGTTTATTATCAGCAGAGGCAGTTCGGGGATACTCCCCAACGCTGCGGTTTTCATCTGTTGGCCTCCACCGGGTCGGGAGAAGCAGATTGCCTTTCCCATGGTGGCTACGGTATTGTCCAGCCCACTGGGTCGGCCGTGGATGCACATCTCCCCGACAAAAGCCCAGCGGTTGATGGCGTCCAGGGATGGTTGTCTAGATTCCTCATCCTCGAGACAGCGGACAGACTGGAGGTATCCCGACCGAAGCAACAGCGCAGTGCTGATACACACAGAGACACTGGCGCTGCTCCCGAGTCCTGCTCCGATGGGGATCTCCGAGGTGAGGGTGTATGTGTAGCTATTGTCATTGGGCGAGCAGAGCAGCATGTATAGGTACAGAAAGGCCAGCTGGGCTTCGAAATAGTGTTTTTTCTTCTTCAGCGCGGGCGATGTCTTGGAGAGAAACCACGAAATCGCGCTTGTCAGATCCGGTTCAAGGGATGTAGTGAGTTCTGCTTCTGGCTTGTCGTGTTGTACTTTCATCGCGACTCCCCAGGGCAAGTCGGAGATAGTCCATGTCTGTTGCATGCCCAGATCTGGCATGGATAGAGTGACTTCTGGAGTATCTTGTCCTCGCTGGATATCTGATTTCAGATATGAACGCAGCGAAATTGGAGCCGCAATAGCCAGCTGCGAGATTCAATTAGCATGTCTCTAACCAATGCAAGATGCAATATACCCTGCCATAGACAACCGCATGTTCACCGAACAGAATTACCTTTCCTGGCGCAGAGACGATCAACGACGAGTCAGTCGACTCCACGTCTCCATGAATCATTTCGGCTTTCATCGTGGGAACGTAGAAGCAGTCAGTGCAGCGCTGGAGCCGTGTAGATTGCTTGAAGCAAACCACCGGCATATAATCAAATTTATCCGTCCTTGGGAGTGTATAAAGCACGAATCAGCCCCCATCTGCAGGGCTCAACGGTCTGTTCCATATCTTCGGATCCCTCGATGGAGTCTGACTGCTTATGTGATGATGCATTCCGCAGAGGATCAAAAGGATCATCCGTCGGCCTCCATCATGACGTCGGATATCTCCTCTGATGCCATCTATAAAAATGCTTTATCGTCTTGCTGTTGATACATTCCCAGATACAACAGAATCAATAATCATAACCGACATCATGCTTGCGCCTAATACCACCAGCCTGTCCACCCAGGCCTCTCGACTCGTCCGCCAATTGATATCCGACAATGGCGATGTTGGCTTCATGTCCTGTGCCATCTACGACACCGCGTGGGTGTCCATGGTGAGCAAGCCAACTGCCAATGGTCCCCAATGGCTCTTCCCCGAATGCTTCGAATACATCCTGCAGTCTCAGCAACCAGACGGCGGATGGGAGACATACGCATCCGACATTGACGGCATCCTCAACACCGCTGCATCCTTGCTGGCTCTCAAGACTCATGCCGAATATCCTATCCCAGAAGGCCACGCCCCAGCCTCTGATCTGGAACGACGCATCGACCTCGCCAGCACAGCCCTCTCACACCAGTTGCAATCCTGGGACGTCCCCAACACAGTGCACGTCGGATTCGAAATCATCCTCCCCACCATCCTCCGTCTTCTCGAGAAAAAGGGCCTACGCTTTGAATTCGTCGGCTGGGCTGACCTTGACGCCTTGAATGCATTGAAGCTGTTCAAGTTCAAGCCTCAATATCTCTACTCGTCGCAGAAGTTCACTGCGCTGCACTCCCTTGAGTCCTTTATCGATATTGTTGACTTTGACAAAGTCTCGCATCACAAGGAGTCGGGTGCGTTCATGGCTTCGCCTTCGTCTACTGCGGCGTATCTCATGCATGCTTCTTCTTGGGATAATGAGTGTGAGGAGTATCTGCGGACGGTCGTGCAGAATGGTAGTGGACAGGGGAATGGAGGCGTTCCGAGTGCTTATCCATCTACCTATTTTGAAATTACCTGGGTAGGATACCCTGCATACTCTACTGTGGATTCCGATTGCTAATCCTCATCAGGTCCTCACAACACTGCTGCACAATGGCTTTATGAAAGAAGATCTCGGCATCGAAAACACCAATACTCTATACGAAAAACTGCACCTAGCACTACTCAAAGGAAACGGCATAATAGGATTCGGTACGTCCATCTCCTAAACGATAAATTACACTATTCTAACATACATCCAGCACCATCCCTCCAAGCCGACGCCGACGACACAGCCAAAGCCCTGATTTCCGTCAGCATGCTCGGCGACCCAGTCCCAGCCACCGGACTCTTGTCTGAATTCGAAGGCAAAACTCATTTCCGCACATACCAAGGCGAGAGAGACCCGAGCTTCACTGCTAATTGCAATGCTTTGCTTGCGCTCTTGTCGCAGCCGGATCTTCCCGCTCTTGCACCGCAGATTGAGAAGGCAACGACGTTTTTGTGTGATACTTGGTGGGAGGCTGATGGTCATATTGGAGATAAATGGGTGAGTAGTCTTTCTGTGAAAAAAAGGGTGTAAATGTGCTGACCTTGTAGAACCTCTCCCCGCACTATCCGTCCATGTTAATGGCAGAGGCATTTGGATCCCTGTTGGAGGCTTGGGGCAAGGGCTCCCTCGACGCTATTCCTAGTGAGCTGATCCGCGACAAAGTGTCCATTACGCTATACCAAGCCCTTCTGCGAGCTCTTCAAACTCAGAACGAGGATGGATCCTGGGGACCAAGCCACCGCTGCGAAGAAACCGCCTATGCAGTGCTGACTATCGCCAATGCATGTGGACTGCCCTTCCTCGACTCATTATGGCCCGAGATCGACGAAGCCGTGGACTGTGGTCGCAACTTCCTCCAAGGCACCGTCAACGAGAAGCCCGAATACATCTGGGTGGAAAAGGTCACTTATAGCTCGTTGATCCTCTCCGACTGCTACGTCCTGGCTGCCCTAAAGGTCGACCACCAGCGCTCCCAGTCATCCGACACTCTTTCTCAGCTGTTCTATATCCCCGAGAAGAAGATCAGCGAGTTTGTTCGCTTCTATTCTATGATTCCTCTATTTGCAAAGATGCCGCGCTGGAAGCTCCGAGCTGCCCTTATCGAAGGCTACCTCTTCCTGCCGCAGTTGAGCGAAAAGCGACTTGAGATTTTCCCTCGCACGGAAATGGAGGAGGACAAGTATTTTGAGTATATTCCCTTTACCTGGACGGCGTGCAACAACCGAGACAACACTTTTGTCTGCAACAAGACGCTCAAGGAGATGATGATTATCTCCTTCCTCAACTATCAAGCGGATGAGTTCATGGAGGCTGTTGTGGGCCGGTACTATAGCGGCAAGGACGCTTCGGTTGTTGCGTGTATCGGCGAGATCTTCGACAATGTTGACTCCAGCAGCAATGAGGGTAGCGATTCGGATGGCAACACCGCTAAGCCTGTCAAGCCCGTGAAGAAGACTCCCACGATCGAGCAGTTATCGAATGATAAAGCCGCCTCGAAAAAGGTTTCCGACAACGTGGCCGGCGTCCTAGACTCCTTCATCCAATGGTCCATGAACCACCCCAGCGTCCGAGAAGCCAGCACAATCGACGCCCTTCGAGTCAAAGACGAACTGGAAACCTTCCTCATAGCCCACATGGAACAAACAGAAGACAGCGAAAACTTCGCCGCGCAGGCAAAACACAACCGTGAAATCTTCACCAGCCCCCGCTCTAGCTTCTACCGCTGGGTCAACTCAACCTCCTCCAACCACACCTCCTGCCCGTACTCGTTCGCCTTCTACCAAACCCTCCTCGCCAGCGAACACAACCAGCCCGATTGCTTCCAAACCCCCGAGGAAAAATACATCGCCGAAGGCATGGGCCATCATCTCGCGGTGATGTGTCGCATGTACAATGACTACGGGTCCATCGCGCGCGACCGCGACGAGGAGAACCTCAACTCGGTGAACTTTCCTGAGTTTGCGTCTGCGGGGTCGGATAAGAGTTCCAAGTCGGACGAGGCGAGACGGAAGGCACTGTTTACGGTTGCTGAGTATGAGCGGGCGAATATGGAGTTTGGGTTGAGTAAGTTGAGGGAACTGGCTGGGGAGGATAAGCGCAAGACGAGGGTGATAGAGAAGATTCAGATGTTCTGTAATGTTACGGATTTGTATGGGCAGATTTATGTGGCAAGAGATATTGCCAGTCGGATGTGATTTGTATAGACTGTTATGGCGTTTGTTTAAGTTTATCGACTGTCTACCTAGAGCTCTCATAATACAAACTGGCTTTTGCTGCTGAATATCTCCTTCATTGAATTTATACTTCACTCGTCTTGGTGAATGACCATGTCTGACTTATCTCGCATCATCCAGAACCCTTCCGATCAATCCTCTCCTCCTACCATACCTTCAAAAATACAATTCAATTTTTCTGAGGCTTGAAACTTCTTAGCCTGCCTCCCAGGAAGAGATCTGAAATGGCCTATTGTTGCGCATGAAGCAGGACTATCTAAAAAACCCGAGTCGTGTCTTCGAGTTGATGCGAATTGATGGTTATGTCAGTCTAATGGACTAGTCAAGGTCATGATTGTCATTGTAATAAACAGCAACGCTTTATTCCCATGCCTATTTAATATCTCCTTTCCCTACAAAACCAGATGAACAGAAACATGTCAGACGACACATTCCTATGAGAACTGCCCGATGAAACCCCGCAAGAAAATGCAACAACAGCAGCTGCCATCAAACGCATCATCCGCCACTCCAACTCCCCATATATTATCATTTCATCTGTCCCCAAAGCTATCGCTAATGCCATCGGCGAAAATCCCCATTTAATCGGACCAGGACCCCGCATCTTCTACCATGAAGATCTACGCAAGATGATTGTCAAACTGCCATCGAGAGTGCTTCAGGTTGCGACACTTCTCTTTCATGATGCCATCACAGAGAGCGCTGCTGCCATGGGAATCGCGAGACTCTTTGATCCGATTGGGAGTGCGACGTGCGAGGATCGTCCGTATATGAAAGAGCCCGATGCTTCGTATATACCTGTCAACCTTCAAGGGAGGAGTGATAAATGGCCAACGGTGGTGGTGGAGTCTGGATTTTTGAAGACTATTAGACGACTTCGTGTTGATGCGGAATGGTGGCTTGTCAGATCAGCGGGCGATGTGAAAGTTGTCATCATCATTGCTGTTAAAAGAGATGAACCAGAAATTATCATTGAAAATTGGATTGCGGATGGAAATGGGCCAACTTGTCAACAGGAGATTGTCATAAGTCGTACTGGTCAGGTTATAACTGTACTTGGAGCACCCTTGACTATCACACACGAGGAACTACTCCTTCAACTCAATCCCAAGTCGCGATATCTCAATCTCACAGGAAGAGCTGGAATACATCGCAGGCCGTGTTTGGACACACCAGCTTACTGCTTGATCATATAACTTGATCGATATATATTATTAAGACATCTAGAGCTCTAAAATCTAAAATACCGTCCGTTTCATAAGTCTTAAGTGCAGTAAAAAAACAGATTGTGCGGCCTTCATTATTCGTAATAGTATGCGGCAATTGAGATAATAATAAAGAGCGCAATCAGAGCAACCCCTTCAAAACTAAACATCCAGACTGTTAGCAAAGGTTAGATTCCTCAAGGGATCAGAAAAACCTACTAGTTGCACTTTCCATTGGCAATGACAAAGTTGACATAGAGAGCACTCATAAATTAAGTCGAAACCTCGAATCCATCGAAGTACAGGCTCATTATATACACGCCCATTCCCCAGGCAATGAATATAATCAACGGGATAACCAGCTGGATGCACTTCCCAACCGTCGATGCGATGCATTGGTCCATGTGATTATGCCATGCGGCCTTGATGGGGCCGATGTCATTGCTGAGCAGCGGGAGAATGACCACGCCGATAAATGCACTGCTGAGATGAGCATTGTCCATCAGGCTAGACAGGATATCGGTTGCAAAGGTTATATGGAATCCGATAAGGATAGCGGCGATGGTGAGTTAATTATAGCAATAACAATTTTATTAGAGATGGATATTCCTATTTAATGTACTAATATGATATCTAGGATATACCCTGTAATATCTACTTTAGACCTGGCTAGGAACCGCGGGTGTGTCACGGAGCATAGACATTCACTGAGCATGGACAGTCACTGAGCCTCGCTTAAACCCTTCGCACACATTAGATAGCTCGTCGCCGGCAGGCCTGCCTCTTTCCTTTTCTCTCCTCATGTTAGAATTTTGTCAGATAATCTACCAATATACTCATATTGCTCGGGACCGTCACAGGGTGAACCTCACGAACCTCAAAGAGGTTCACCCACCCGGAGGTTAAGGTTCCATGACCTAGAACCTC